TCCTTTGGATTTAATACTACACCTGTGAATCATCAGCAACATTCTTAGCTCCAATACTCTTCCTATTGTATCTTCGTAATCCTCACATTCGTGTAATTATGCTTGCCCTTGTGATCTCAGATTGAGGATTGGTCTGATGTATGCACTAGCTAGAAGAAGCAGAGAATCGTGTTAGTTTTTCACTTGGCTCCATTCTATTCCATAATTATGTTTAATTATGCTAAAGACGGTAGGTGCATTGAAGTTCCTTTTGCATCGTAGAATGCACTTGGCACAAATTGCCTGCACCTGGTATATCTTCGAAAATCCTTGTTGTCTTTCCCGTGTCAGGTAAAACGTCTTCCACATTCTCTCGCGATGCCTATAAAGGTTTAAATCGTCTTCTCCCTATTCCTCTTCGGAATTGTAGCATCCGTTGAATTTTTCGTTCTTTTAACCCACTTGCATCCAAGCGCGGAATATTCCGCGAGCCACGACTGTCGTCAATCACCGAGCGCGGAATATTCCGCGAGCCATGACTATCGTCAATCACCGAGCGCGGAATATTCCGCGAGCCACGACTGTCGCCTATCACCGAGGGCGGAATAATCCGCGAACTGACTTTTTCCATTAGCAGTTACTGAATATTCCTCATATGCCACAGATCACGTTTGATCCCTTTTGTGAGCATCTCATCTACATCGGTTCATTATATTCGTAACAAGTTTTACTTTTATTGTGAAAATCCTTTTAACTGCCATTATCAGTAATGGGGGTTAATAAGTATTCTTCGATTCTTCCCACGAAATAAATTACACGTATTCACTGATTTCACAGAAACGTCCAAAATCCAGGTTTCAAATTGAATCAGAGACCGTAGTCAATCTTAATTCCCTTTTCTCGCGATTAAATAAAATTCTAATTACAGAGGGTTGAATGAGGACTCGAGTTGCAGGAATGTGGACGGAACATGAGATAAAATAACGTAATCAGGACTTTTACGAGCGAAGCTTAAGCAAAGCAAGGAACGAAAGGAGTCTGATTACTGGATCAGATGGTCATACGTCAGCTCGTATAACTGTGGTCATATGGCGCAGCTGTTATATTGCTTCCTCGTGGTTAAGCTGGTGACAGGTTGTCCTTAATGGAAGCAAGTGTTGACTGAGCTGCGTTGACACTGAAAGCTGCTCGACTCATAGCACATTGTTTTATACGTCTTCCACAGTGTGTATTCCGCAATTTTATTACACCACTCGTGCTCGAATACAGATTGAACTCCGTGGATTCTTCGTTAACAGGTGGCCTTCATCCGCAGATCAGAGACCAGAGAGAGTCTGCTTAACAGAGTCGTTGAAATTTTATGCCTCCAGCAGGATTAGACGTTAAACCGGTTGTCCTAACGCTTTAAGCACCCTTGTTAGGTTACGAGTATATCATACCTTCTGACTTTTACGTGTCTGTAAACTTCTCCATCCTGCAAATAGACTATTCACTGTCATAGAACAGTCTATCGATTAATCTCAGGAAATTACTACGGGATTCTCCAAAATTCAGGATTAATTTAACGAGGAGTGTAAATACCTCTTCCATCAGAATTGGAGCTGCGGAATTGATCACCCTTGATCCCCCTCATCCTCCGAAGCAAAGGGAAGCTCGGTAACTCCGAGTCTGACTCATGCCACAGCTTCAGGAACCACCCCTTCCTAGTTTCCCAAGATAAGCAAATAATTAAACACCCTTTGGATCTGTGTTGCACTAGTCAGGGAATCCTGGTGACATTTTTCCGATTCCACATCGGGCCGATGCGTCCACATTGCGGTGGTCAGTAACACTCGAATCGCTCCCTTTTGTCGCGGGGTCGATCGCTTTTTTCCCCTGCGTCGAACATGGCTGGAGAAATGGGTCGTCGCGTGCACGAAGCGTGTTTGCACGTGCGTTCGCGTGTATGCACGTGTCCGCGGCGTCACGTTTGCTCTGGCCCATCGCCGGTACCATAATGGCGGCCGCGCCGCGCCAGCCCTGCATTTTCCACGCCGCCAAGACCGCGGCTTTTCATAACGACGTTTCTTCGTGTTTGCTCACTGCGCGCTTGTTGGCTTGCCCGGCGAACGATGTGATCGGTGGAAAGCATTTTTAATTGGATGGTATTTCGCCTGGATGGATGTCGTGTGTCTGTCGATACGCGGGAGACAAATTGATCGGGTGGTACTTCGATACTTCTTTTCTATTTCGTTGGACTATCGATGAACAATGCTTCGGTGTTGATTATGTTCAATTATTGAATAAAAATAACGGAGACATTCGAAAACTTGAGGGTTTTAATTTTACAAAATAGGTAAAGGTTTACAAATCGAAGATTCCGAAGTATCAATTTTAGAAGATAATATTGGCTATAGTAAAACGTAAAATTGTACAAAATTTCAAGATATTAATATCAACAAATAATAGTGTTACTATAAAGGAAATTAAGAGTAGAAAATCTTTTTTTTTTTTTATTTAATTAGACCGCGGTTTTAGTAATATTCGAATTTTTAGAGAAATAAAAATGCTTTGGTGTTAAATAAGTTCTATTATCGAGAAAAATAGCAGAGATAGTTGAAAACTTAAGGGTGTTAATTTTAGAAAATAATGGTGTTAATAAATCAAAGATTCCTTATAATTTCTTTACAATTTTCTGCTGTATTTTTGCTATTAACAACACTATTATTTTTTAATATTAATATCTTGCAATTTTGTAGAATTTTACATTCTAAATTAATACTAAAAGTATAGAAGATAATTTCGATTATAGTACGATGTCAAGCTGTACAAAATTTCAAGATATTAATATCAAAAAATAATAGTGTTCCTGTAAAGAAAATTAAGAGTAGAAAATCTTTCCTTTTTATTTCACTAGACCATGGTTTTAGTAATATTCGAATTTTTAGAGAAATAAAAATGCTTCGGTGTTAAATAAGTTCAACTATCGAGAAAAATAGCAGAGATAGTTGAAAACTTAAGGGTGTTAATTTTAGAAAATAATGGTGTTAATAAATCAAAGATTCCTTATAATTTCTTTACAATTTTCTGCTGTATTTTTGCTATTAACAACACTATTATTTTTTAATATTAATATCTTGAAATGTTTTATAATTTTGCATCGTAAATTGATCCTAGAAATATAGAAGATAATTTCGATTATAGTACGATGTAAAATTGTACAAAATTTCAAAAAATAATAGTGTTCTTAATAGTAAAAATATAGTAGAAAATTGCGAAGAAAATTAACAGTAGAAAATCTTTTCTTTTCGTTTCACTAGACTACAGTTTTAATAGTATTCGAATTTTTAAAGAAATAAAAATGCTTAAAAATCGACGAAGTTAGAAGAATAGAGATAGTCAAAGACCTAAAGCTGTCAATTTTACAAAATAACGATGTTAATATAATATCGACTAGAATAAGAAAACGTAAAATTTTACAAAATGTCAAAATAATAATATCCAAAAATAATAGTGTTCTTAATACTAAAAATATAGTAGAAAATTGTGAAAAAAATTAAGACTAGAAAATCTTTTCTTTTTATTGCATTAGACCACGGTTTTAGTAGTATTCAAATTTTTAAAGAAATAAAAATGCTTCGATATCAACGAAGTTAAAGAAATAGAGATAGTCAAAGACCTAAAGCTGTCAATTTTACAAAATAACGATGTTAATATAATATCGACTAGAATAAGAAAACGTAAAATTTTACAAAATGTCAAAATAATAATATCCAAAAATAATAGTGTTCTTAATACTAAAAATATAGTAGAAAATTGTGAAGAAAATTAAGACTAGAAAATCTTTTCTTCTAATTTCATTAGACCACGGTTTTAGTAGTATTCGAATTTGTAAAGAAATAAAAATGCTTCGATATCAACGAACTTAAAGAAATAGAGATAGTCAAAGACCTAAAGCTGTCAATTTTACAAAATGTCAAAATAATAATATCCAAAAATAATAGTGTTCTTAATACTAAAAATATAGTAGAAAATTGCAAAGAAAATTAACAATAGGAAATCTTTTCTTCTAATTTCATTAGACCACGGTTTTAGTAGTATTCGAATTTGTAAAGAAATAAAAATGCTTCGATATCAACGAACTTAAAGAAATAGAGATAGTCAAAGACCTAAAGCTGTCAATTTTACAAAATGTCAAAATAATAATATCCAAAAATAATAGTGTTCTTAATACTAAAAATATAGTAGAAAATTGTGAAAAAAATTAACAGTAGAAAATCTTTTCTTTTCATTTCACTACAGTTTTAATAGTATTCGAATTTTTCAAGAAATAAAAATGCTTAAAAATCGACGAAGTTAGAAGAATAGAGATAGTCAAAGACCTAAAGCTGTCAATTTTACAAAACAACGATGTTAATATAATATCGACTAGAATAAGAAAATGTAAAATTTTACAAAATTTCAAGATATTAATAAAGAATACCGTTCTTAATACTGAAAGCACGGTAGAAAATAGTAAAAGAAATTCGCAAAACGTAGAAAAATGGGAGGAAATGATATTCAAAGCTCACCTCTCGGTATAACATTTCCCAGTCCACGTAGATGATCAATGCGTCTCCTGCACGACTCCTTTGGCTTCTACCGAGTGGTCACTTTGCGACTGCGAAATCCCGATGGACTTAACTTCCGGACGAATGCTTTTGTTTATCCTCGTAGGATTCAGCTCGCTGAAAAGAGCATCTGTGGCCACTCCTGATGGCTGCCAATCTCACAAAACTAAACGGTGAACCTGAAACCAGCGAGCGATATTAGTCGCGTAAAAGTAGCTCACCTGTTCCAGGAACACACTCCCGGTTCCTGCATACTATCTGATAACCAGATAGTCCCAACCCGCTTTTCTCGTCTCTTGCTATTTTTAACCAAGCGAAACCCGATTGCACAATCCTCCATCTTCCTCGCTCACTCCCTCTCTCTCTCTCTCTCTCCCTGGACGTCCAATCTGTTTCCCTGACAAATAAACCAAGTGTACATTGAAATTGCAGGTGCACCCATGTGGACGATACCGACACAACACCGTGGTATTCATCCTGGCGAAGGAGTACAACCTGAAGAACCTGAGGACCATCCACAGGCTGGACAGACTGACCAGCGGTATTCTCCTTTTCGGTAGAACGCCGAAGAAGGCGAGGCAGATGGAGCACCAAATAAGAAACAGACAGGTTAGTTTCGTAACCGTGGTATGCGAGGAAAACTGGCTCAACTCGCGAGGTTTCCAAGAAATTCTACCGTGGACAGGGAAAAAGCGCGAGGCTAGGTTATTGGGAAACGTTGAGACCGGATAGGCTAGTGTAGGATGAAAAAGCGTGTCGGATAGTGTTCGGTGTGTCGTACAAATTCGCGAGGAATTGAACTGAGCAATTGCTAATCGAATACCGATAATAGGTAGAGTAAGAGTATGTAGGATTAACCACACTTGCGCTATCAAGACGTGCCACGCACGTCGAAATGCTTTTGTGCCAAAGTCGCCAGCGACGTGTACATCACGTCGATAGGCATTTGTCGCAGAAACGAAAACGACGTGTCCGACACGTCGGCTAACAGTTAGCTCGTAGATGCGATATGGTGTCAATGTAACGATTTACCACGTGTTATATTGTAGAGCGCAGCACGGCAACCGAAAGTTAACCACTTGCGCTATAAAGACGTGCCACGCACGTCGAAATTTTTCTGTTCCAAAGTCGCCAGCGACGTGTATACCACGTGGATAGGCATTTGTCGCAGAAACGAAAACGACGTGTCCGACACGTCGGCTAAAAGTTAGCTCGCAGATGCGATATGGTGTCAATGTAACGATTTGCCACGTGTTATATTGTAGAGCGCAGCACGGCAACCGAAAGTTAACCACTTGCGCTATAAAGACGTGCCACGCACGTCGAAATGCTTTTGTGCCAAAGTCGCCAGCGACGTGTACACCACGTGGATAGGCATTTGTCGCAGAAACGAAAACGACGTGTCCGTGACGTTGCGGCGTCAGTATAACTGCGGTCAGGCGTTACACTGACGTGGTACACGCGTCGCTGGCGACTTTGGAACAAAAGCATCTCGACGTGCGTTGCACGTCTTTATAGCGCAAGTGGTTAACCCTTTCGGTGCTACTGCCACCCATTGGCGACGGCCATGAAACGTTCTCTGGGTACTACCGTCGCCGATTGGCGGCATCCGCGAAACGTCACCGATGACTGTCGCGATCCGAATGAAAAGTGTCGATCACGCTCGAAATTTCTATGAACTCCGCAAAACACGATTTCGCGGCTTCCAGTGCAACCACTCTTATGGTGAACTTGCTCGTACCACGAATGCATAACCGCGGCCAGTTCCTCCGTACCGAAAGGGTTAAATCGTAGCGCAAGTGGTTAAGGGTGCAAGAACTGTGAGACTCATGAGAGATTTGATTTTTAGGTGCACAAGCAGTACGTGTGCCGAGTGGAAGGCGAGTTTCCCGAGGAAGAAGTGGTGTGTTCAGAGCCGATCGAGGTGGTGTCGTACAAGATCGGCGTGTGCAAGGTGTCCGAGAAGGGGAAGGATTGCGTGACACGTTTCAAGCGTCTGAGCTACAACGGCAAGTCGTCGGTGGTGCTGTGCAAGCCTCAGACAGGACGAATGCATCAGATCCGTGTGCATCTTCAATACCTGGGCTACCCAGTGGTGAACGACCCTCTGTACAACCATGTAGTATTTGGTCCTGAGAAGGGTAAGGGTGGTAACATCGGGAAGACCGACCAGGAGCTAGTTCGAGACCTGATCAGCATCCACAACGCGGAGAACTGGCTCGGCATGGACGGGGACTCTGAGATGAGTCTGTTCAAGCCGAAGCTTGACATGGAGGAACGCGTGTTGAGCAACGATAAGGACGGGTCCTCGCCGTCCTCGACACCTGGTCTAGGGGAGGAGGAACAGCAGCAGCAACAGGAACAATCGCTTAAGGTGACGGTGGGAACGCAGACGGGATCGGAGCCACCGGATTCTAGTTTCACGAACGACAAGATGACGGTCGATCCGCACTGCTACGAGTGCAAAGTGAAGTACAGAGACCCGAAACCATCTGACCTGGTCATGTATCTGCACGCGTGGCGCTACTGCGGTCCAGGCTGGGAGTACGAGACCCCGCTTCCTGCCTGGGCAGCCAGCGACTGGGCCGAGGAGGACCGATAGTTCCGGTCCACGAAGCATCGAAACGAGCTGCCATCACCCTTCGTACCCCTTTTTGATATCCTTACCCCGTGCCTTCCATCCGCCAGCGAGCGATCTCGACCATCGTACATGTACCCATCCCTGTGACCAGGTCGCTGGACTCGCAAATAAATGGCAGACCTCGACGTTGGTCCGCCGAGATTGGTGTCACGCCTGGTCTGCGCTGATATTCGAGGCTCTTAGGCTGGGGATATCGCGGTGAATCTGTCAGGATCGTTTCGAGGATGAGATTCTCAATGAATGACAGGTTCATCTGGTATTCCGATGTTTCTTGACGATGATGGATCTTAAACGAGGAAGATCGATCGATGGCAAGGCGTTTGGAGCGCTAACCGGTTCCAGACGGATCTGAAGTTCGCGTGAGAGGTCTTGCGAGCGTTCCGGCGAATCTTCCAGCAACGTTTCAGATCGTCCTCGATCCCTCGCGCGTTCACTCGTTGTTCCAATTGATGAGAGTAACGCGGCCACCTCTAGGGTCTCGCGTGGTTAGGTGTAATTGATAGATGGGGATCTTCTGGCAGGCCTGCGATAGAGTGTGAACTCTCGTTCAGGATGCACGGGTGAATGGTGTAAAAAATCGAAGCATCAGCCTGGCACACGGTGCGATGAAACGATCCTGACCGGTTCTGTAAACGGGTCGGTCGAATAGTCACTGCCACCCGTGCGCGCACGAGAGAAGATTGATGCAACTGTCAACCGCGGAAGCCCGGATGGATCGTTATCGTTCGTGTTCTTGATTTATGATGCAGATAGGGACGAGGAAAGCCGGCGGTCTTTTCCATTATTAAGGCGAAAGCGACGTAACTTTTTGCTTCTGATCTGTGAGGAAAGCGCGCTCGCATCCCGAGTCCTTTTCATGAATTTTCTTGCCACCAACCAACCAGGAGGATTCCTTCCTCCGTTATTTCCTTTCACCTTCCATTGGTAGAGTGTAGACGAGATCGAAATAATACTTAACGGAGATAGTCGACGTTTCGCTTCATCTTCTTTTCCTTCGCGTCAAAGTCTATTTATGTAACAAAAGCTTCGTTCTATCAATTGGGGGTTGCAATGAAACTTCTAAGCGTATTATGCAGACTGTATCAGGGAGTACCGCTGAACCCCTAACGCAAGGCAAACTATTCCTATTTCCTTAATTAGAATCGCCTCCAGCCAACTTTCTACAGCTATGTAAAGCGATCCACGTTGTATTTCTTAATCAGATTAACCGGACATAGAATAGATACGACGTTGCTCCCTAGTCCAAGTAACTCATCGTGTCACCCAGAACGTAGATGATCAAAATTCAGCCCTGCGACTAATAACTTCCATTCTACCTTACTTTCGACGTCTTGTTTCAACCAGCGTGTTCCAACAATCTCTACAATCACCATACATCCATCTATCCCATCGCAAACGCTCATGATGCACATGAGAGAGCAAGGAAAACAATGACAAGATCGCGACTGAGGGTTATTTAAAAAAGAATCGTCATCGACCAGCGTTCATCCTCGAGAGCCGACGCGCAGGCAAGGGGGCTGACTTAGGAAACTGCAATAGAGACGCGTCTATTTTTATGGCTGATTATATATACAGGAAACTAAATAGTGGCGCAGGTCCAGCGGCAGAGGTCTCCAACAATAAGCGTGATCTTGCCAGGAGGATATAGCCAACGATCATGCCAAAGAGCGCGAGCGCGTGTCCGGCGAGCGAGAGCGAGAGCATGAGAGATCGTGTGAAAGATAACGTATGCGTGCGTGGGAGAGAGAGAGCGAGTGAGCTTCTTTCAAGTCATATCGTGTACGTGTACCTTGTTCCCGCGCGTCGAAAAAGACCGCGTCCAAGTGGCAGGACTTGTAACAAGTACAATCGAGCGAGTGAAATAACGAGATTAACGTCGTACATTATTTTGCTACGAGTCACGTTCGTCTCCTCTAGCGGGGCTATACATAGGCTTTTATCGCGTGCTCGAGATGTCCGGAGAAAAGGTGATGGGAATGTAGGGGTCCTCGTGGTCTTCTGCTTGCTTGGGACATTTACTCGTATAGCGAGCCAAAGATGCAGCTCTACCCTTTCATTGTATAATTTTTCTATACCTCTGTACCTCATTTGTATCGACTTTCGCCCCCTCTGTTGGAGTATATTACGTCCAGTTCTTCGTCCTTGGGTTGAGTTCTACTGTGCTTGATTTCTCAGTTATACTTTTTCCATCATCCGATGGGACTCTCTTTGGCTCATTGAACGACGCAGGTAGAATTATCCCGAAATTTAAGGATCATGGGATTAGATTTCATCAGGATTATTCCCTCTGTTTGATGCTTGGTTCTGTAAACCGCCTTGTTTCGGAGAAATTTTGAGTAGAGATCACACCTAACCTAGAAATTCCTCGCAGAGGAGAGATCGTCTTAAGAGTACACGGCTTACATTTTCGAAGTCTCAAACGATGCACGCTGACATCGCAAGAAGGGAACAAAAACCATGTTTTATACGAAAGCTTTGTAATAATCGCGAGCTATTAAATAAATTATCGAACGAGAATGGAACGGAGTATGAGAAGATATCGAAAGATGTAAAAAGGTTCCCGTCACCTCTCCGGATTCTTGAGAGCAAGAGGCAAACAGAGATCAGTGGACAGAGATTTTAGATAGATAGAGGTAGGAGGGAGATAACGTAACAACGGACCTATCATAAAAGACAGTGTGTGCGCTTACTAACTCACCGGGACAGCTTGCGAGGTGGGACGAAATAATAAAAAGGAGAGCGAGCTGTCCCGATATTGTAACGGCTAGCTTAATTTTATTTAAGTAAAAGAAAAAAAAAAGGAAGGAACTAACTCTCGACGATATATCGAATGAAGGAAAGACAAAGAGAACAGGGAGAGAAAGGGGGAGAAGAGTAGAAACTCCAAAAGACAGTCCCGATTTAGTGGCACAGAGATACAGAGAGTAAGGGAGAACGAGCGAGAGAGAGAGCGAGAGCGAGAAAGACATCGGTCTGTAAATCGAGCGAGCGCTTTTGTATGTATATACATATATATATATATATATTGTATATTGTATACGCACATTGTACCGTAATCCGAGCGACATTATTATCTGTATCCGTAGTGAACGGAAACGTTAGAGCTAGAAAACTTTTTTCTTGTATAATGAACGAATAAATGCAAAGTATCGTTCGGTATACACGTCGTGTGCCAATGTTCTCTTTATTTTGCGATTTTTGTCTCGTAATCGTTCCACCCTCTTTCATGCGCGTTCTTTGATTTATTCGATGTGAAATGTACTTAAGAACACTGAATACTTTAAGGGCGAATATTTGGCATTCAGCAAATATTCGATGTGAAAAGACGATATATATATATTTTGACGCGATAAAAATGTTACGTGTAATTATTTGGGAGTTAAAATGTACAAGATGATTCACTGGTAATAATTTCCAACATGGCTACCTTGGATCGTTAAAAGAATTGTATTTCGCAAGTAATAAAAATGATTCTTCAGTCACACTGTAATTGAATCATACTGTACATTTTGCGGAAATAGACAGACACGAATGGCTTATTAATTTTGTCACGTTATGCGTTATGATTTGGTGTTCGCTGCGTCTCGTTGAATCCTCAATGAGAACGAACAAGATCGCTTGTAACGATGTTACTTCGAACAGGGTTAGAGGCTGTTATTTTTTTGGATTCCGCTATCGTTGAAATAAAATCGCAATCCTCTTTGAGTATCTTTTACTTTAGTTTAAGTTTAATTTCTCGATATCCTTTACATTATAAAGATATTGTAAGATATCTGTTTTATATTCGGTCTCTATTAGAAAACGAATACTTATGAATTATATTTCCTTATACTAAACCATAGAAAAAGAAAAGAAAAAAGAAAAAGGAAAATTAAATTACCTTAAAATGTCACGTCTCTGATCCTATATTAATACAAACAAATTATGTTCTTTTATTTATTTTATTCACCATACCATCAAAAAACGATGAAAGTTCGGTAGAATTACAAAGGAAATTCAACTACACCGCAACATGCTACGCCTTATACACACTGTAAATAAATACAATATCTTACAGGTATAAATACACTCCTGTTTCCTCCAGTCGCTCGTTTATCGAGTAGTAAATATTGGAAAGTTCAATGATTTCCAGACTGTATACCTTTAGTTTCAATTGGCCATAGCTCGTTTGCGGCTTTGAATACGTGCTTCTATTTCAGGTCTAAAATGCCTAATCAGGCCTTGTACTGGCCATGCTGCACCATCCGCCAAAGCACAAATAGTATGCATTTCAATCTGTTTAGTCAACTCCCACAACATATCTATTTCGTGTACTTCCGCTTGCCCTTTGACGAACCTAGACAAGCATTCGTTTTATAATTTTCAATATCTAATTTATTACTTTATCTTGAGACAAGGCCAAACAAATAAAATATATTACATACCTTCCAATGATTTTATACATCCAGCTTATTCCCTCGCGACACGGAGTGCACTGACCGCAAGATTCGTGTTTATAGAAGCTAATAAGGCGTGCGATAGCTTTAATGATATCAGTTTGCTTGTTCATCACAATTACAGCTGCAGTACCAAAGGAAGTTTGTACTCTGACAAGGTCATCAAAGTCCAACAACACTGTATCACATACACTGCAAAATGATTTAAATAATTGCAAGTTCCTCGGGTCTCATATTTGCAATTGAATACCTTTTGGGAATAACAGGAGTGGAAGATCCTCCGGGAATTACACCCAACAGATTATCCCATCCACCAATTACACCTCCTGCATGCCTTTCAATAAGCTCTTTCAAAGGAATGGACATTTCTTCTTCTACAGTACAGGGATTGTTTACGTGTCCCGAAATATTAAATAATTTAGTTCCGTGATTACGTGGTCGACCGAATGACGCAAACCATGCTCCGCCTCGCCTGCAAATGGTCTATACATCGAAAATTTAATTTTAGAATTAAAACTTTCTATGAATATCGATTTCCTAATAGCAATAGCTATGTACAAACTAGACATACTTACAGGAGCTACTGCAACAGTTTCAACATTTGTGACAGTAGTAGGGCAACCAAATAATCCAACATCAGCTGGGAAAGGTGGCTTTAGCCTAGGCTTTCCCTGCTTTCCTTCGATAGATTCAATAAGAGCAGTTTCTTCTCCACAAATATATGCTCCTGCTCCTCTTTGTACAAAGATGTCAAAATCATAACCAGATCCACAGGCATTCTTTCCAATCAAACCAGCTTGATATGCTTCAGCAATAGCAACTTGCATATTTGATGCTTCATTGTAGAATTCACCACGAATGTAGATATAAGCAGCACAAGCTCCCATTGCTCGACCAGCAATTAGACAACCTTCTACCAATTTGTGAGGATCATGACGTAAAATTTCGCGATCTTTACAAGTACCAGGTTCACCCTCGTCTCCATTAACTACCAAATATTTTGGTCTCCCATCGGAGGGTTTGTTCATAAAGGACCATTTCATACCAGATGGGAAACCTGCACCTCCCCGACCTCTCAAACCAGATATTTTGATCTCATTAATAATCCAATTTGCACCTTTTTCCACAATTTCCTTAGTCTTATACCAATCTCCTCTTTGCAGAGCACCCTTTAACCTCCAATCGTGCCTACCATATAAATTTGTGAAAATACGGTCCTGGTCAGCCAGGGGACCACCCCTTTTCTATAAAAAAAAACAACACAAATCGTACTATATTTTTACCATCATATCACATGACATAACAAATAATTAATAAAAAGATATATATAAATAAATTAAGCTTGCCTTTCCTTCCGGTGCGGCATCAGCAAATGTTCTCTGTTGATGGCTGGTCAACGAAGACCCAAGGAAACCTTAAAAACAAATAAATTTCTTTCATTACATAACCTCGTTTCAACGACAACGCAAAACGTCGAAATTCCTTTCTAAAATGGGAACATCGGAAGATCGACATTCCGCATATCACAATTGATCTTAAACGTATTGAACATCGTGATTACGATTCGAAACTAAACAAAATAGCATCGAAACTTACCCAACTGTCTCCTTGGGACCTGAAGACACCGTACAATGGCACCAGCCATCTTGCCGTTTGCGAACTTGCTGAAGTTTGCGACATTAGCCTGTCCACTTAAAGTACCACACTATGGTCACCTTGTGGTGTGTTCGGGAAACAAAGCAACACGAGATTGAATACGTGTTCAACGCTGTTTTGTCGTCTGTTTTCGTGAAAGACTTGTGTTGAATGTTCATGAAACACGTATCGTGTCTGTTAAAAAAAATCGGGATTCTCGACAGGTGCCCGGTTTTCTAGCCTAGTCATGGTCCTTGGCTATCAATAGAAGCCTGTCTACGCGACAGTGACGAAAACGGGAACGTTCGTAACAACGTAGCGACTCGTTTGAAGCAATATGCCTTCCAGGAGGAATAATTGTGACCTGCTGGCCAGGGTAAATTTCCCCCTTTATACGCTGCAGATGTTGACGGGACGGCATATCCTAGTTGGTGGTGGTGGAGGTTCTTCGAAAACTGGAGTTGCTAATGGATTTGTAAGCATTTCCCTTGGTTTAAAGATTTTTTATGTTAAAAGTGACATGAATTGTGTGTATATATTAAATAAATTATTTTAATGAACAGGAAATATTTGATTTGTCCCACAATGGATCTCAATTTGTTGCGGAAGAAGTGACTAGACATGAAACAGGTCCTAGTGTTGTTATGAACTGTACAACTTACAATGATCAGAAGAGAATCTGGATTGCAGCAGGTCAAGAGAGTCATTGTCAGCTTTACAATGTAAGTAGTAAAGTGATCACTGTGAAGAATGGAGAGATTCTTAAAGGAGCCAATGGTAACGATAAGGAAGGCCTTAGGCACAGAAAGAATACGGATAAAATAGAAGGAACTATTACTCCTGAAGAAAGGATAGAGGAGATTAAGGATGACAACTCAAATATTAAAAGCAAAAAGCTTCAATTGATAGTAAAGCCAATGGATAGTGTACAAACAGATTTCAGGTATTTATTTTTCATAAAAATACAGAAAGTCCCTAAAATAATTTAAAAGTATTCTGAAAATAATAATTTTTTCAGTGATGAAGAACCATTTCAAAGGATTGTTAGAATAAGCTCAAATGGAAAGTTTATGGCCACTGGTGGAATGGATGGTCATATAAGATTATGGAAGTTTCCACAATTACATAAATTACACGATATAGATGCACACTTGAAAGAAATAGATGACATAGACTTCAGTCCAGACAGTACATTAATTGCAAGCATAGCAAAGGATGGTAAAGCATATTTGTGGAATGTGAGCAATGGTTCCAAGTCCAAGGAACTTACTTGGTCAGCTCCAAATGGATTGAAATATTTGTATAAAAGATGCAGGTTTAGAAAATTCGAGGAGGACAAATCAAAAACTCAGCTCTTTATGCTTTCCAATGCAGTGATTGGAAAGAATACTAGCTTCCTACAAATGTGGGATGTGGATTCTGGAAGTATTGTCAAGGCAGTACCATATAAAGAAACCCTGTCTGCTTTAGCAGTGTCGGATGACGGAAAATTCGTCGCAGTTGGAACAATGTTTTCTGGTAGTGTGGACATATATATTGCATTCAGTTTGAGAAGAGCTTTGCATGTACCTGGTGCACATAGTATGTTTGTAACTGGCCTAGAATTCTTACCAACTAAATTAGATGGCCCTACTATTGCTAGTAACACTGAAACTGCAGTTGTTAGCATTTCTGTGGATAATAAAATTTGTATACATAGTATACCGTTTAGACGTAAGTAATTGAGTAATTTTTCGTTTACTTTCCCCATATTATTTTGACGAAATTAATAGCTTAATGTGAAATGAACAATCGAAAATATTTTTGTTACAGACACATTACCATTCTGGTTTGTCATCATATTGATTATTCTAAGTGTTTGTGGAGCGTTCATCTTCTGCAGTTATATCGGAATATGACCTGGGAGAATATACTTTTAATACAATCAAGTACTTTTTCTAGGATTTTCTAACATCATACATCGAACTTTCAGACGTGCTTTTCTTAGGTTGTAATTGTTATTAATTACAAGGAAGCAGGTTATAATTCATTTGAACTTACAAACATATGTGCACGATTTTTGTAAGAATAGACACGACTACCTGCAATTTACTTGCTAACGAACAAATAACGTACGTTATTTGGTCCTTGTTCTCGAAACTTCAACCATTTAGATAAATTTGAAATAAATGTTGCGATAATTATATCGCATTAGATAAACTGTTCGGCAAATGTTCTTGTAAATAGATATTTTTAAATATTTTCTTGCTTAGACATACAAACTACATTCTCATGTCACAAATTTTTTTACACTCAAAGACCAATTTATACGATTTCTTTTTGTACAGGGAATGCAAACCTTTCTGACCTTTATTGCATTTATGTAAATTGTGTCTGTATATTGTTCACATGTACAGTCGAATGTAGATGTTGAAACGTGAAATGTTATGTATATGCCTTAGGGTTAAACTTTAAATTTTATTCCATTCTTTTTATTACAATGCTAGAATAACATATGAATTGTGATCGGCCCGTTTTAAAAGTCAAAATGAGCCAAACTGGTCATATATAAATAGCACACATGCATCACACAGAGTTTTAGCAGTTTTATAATGCATTTCACGGGAAACAGTTGAAATTTTCCATACACGGAAAATGTTGCCATATGACAAGAATTTGTGGGCAAATGTACTTTGTTAAATTGAAAATCAAATTTGAACATTGAATGCATTTTTATTTCCTCTTCCTATGTCCTTGAAAAATAAAAAAAACAAATAGTCCATCCAATATTTGCATTAATGTATAATGCATGATGTATATAAGTTAAGACAGTTAAGTGAATACAATGTAAATAGCAAAGTCCAATTATCAATGACAATGACTCATTTCCATTCAGATTCTGTTACTACATGAAAAAGGCACGTAAATAGATAATCAAAAAATGAAAACAAACAAACCGAGCAATGTAAATAAACAGACCGAAATATGTAAACACGCAAAAGAATGTAAATAAACAAACGGAGAATATCTGAAAGACACGTCTAAAAGATCAGTATAGAAAATTCTGTACGTAGAATAGAAAGGATGCGTCCCTGTTGATCAATCGATTCGAAGAAAGTGCAAGGAATGTTCGCTTTTTCGAGCGACGATTTAGGACTCGTGATCGGAAAGGAATGTTGTCCGAAATCGAAAGGAGCCTTCAGGCCTCTGTCCAAGGGAAGGGGAAGGACGAGTCAGTAATGACATTTTACGACCTTAACGATGGCGCCTATCGACGACTCTCAAGGCTGCGGAGAATGTATCATCGTGTCGAACGACTAAATCAAACGCCCTCCACGCGTTTCTACGATCGAGATTAACATTGCTCCGTTCGAAAGTTTTTGAAATTCACTTTTGCACGCGCCACTATTTCGAAAGTTGACTACTTTTTTATTTTTCTAGTTTTTTCTTTTTATTGTACAGGTTAGCTATCTTGTGAAATTTTACAGACGAGAAACAAATTATATAGCAAAAAATATGGAATTTACTCTAACCTCCTTTCCATTTAACAGTAATTTCGTATTCTTTATCTACAACTCTAAATGTATCCGAAATAAATATTTCAACTTTCCAATTTCTTTCCGATTTCCAATTAAATTTAAGGATCTTGTGCATAAAACAAAAGCTATTTTCAAGGAAACAGGAATTTAAGTGGCGGCAACCATTACGTTAGCTAACCTCGAAGCCTTCAAAAATATCGAGTAACAGGTGTTGGAAATAATTTCGGTATCTCAGTTTCGTATAACGTTTATTGTGAAATACTTTAATAAGGACTCTAAGAATTACTTAATTACTCTCACACGACTCTTAAGCACTAAAGTTAACCAAGTGTACACGGCGCCTCAACGATACGATCGATGAGATCGATGTACCGTGTGGCGCAGAAGAAAGGGACAAGGATCAGAAGGGCAAGGATACGGTGGTTATGTACAAGTTGAATAAACTTACACGAAGAACTCGTTCCTCTGTCACGCGGAGGAAAATTCCCTTCGTTTTTCTTTTTCTTTTCTTTCCTTTCACAATCGATCGCAGAAACGTTTCGCGAACATGTGTTAGGCGAACTCAGACCGACGACTTTCTTCTACCACAGTGACATCGAGGGATTCTCAGTGCACCCGTTCAACCCACCAATAGAATTCTTTCCAAAAAAATATCACAATAAAGATCGTTTTGACTCGCGTAGGATTTCTAGAAAATATAAACCTCGACGTTTCGAATATAAGATACATCGAAATTCCGTTTAGCTTGTGACGCAGTAGTGGTCATTCCGTTGGCGCCGAGTCAATCCTGGCAAGAGATTCGTCGTTTCCGTTCGCGACACGTTCTTCGCGCGATGATTTGGCGCGTATTCTACAAGAAAACTCGCGACTCGTTTCCTTTGAAGATACGCGCCACACGATCGACCGATCTCAACCGTGAATCGCTCATTTGTTCGTGGTGAAACCATCGCCAGCAGGGTCGAGCAGCCACGGGTAGTAGTTGGGGCACTCCATGCAGGTGAACAGACGAAGGGTCTCGCCTGGAAGTTCCCTGGTGGTCAAGGGACAGGCGTTGGGAAGGGAGCAGTAGGGCTGTCCTTTCTCATCGCAAGTTTCCTTCCAATCCTGGAAGTCCCTCAGCGCTGACAGTTCAGTCGGAGTTTGCATCCACTTGATTACCTGCGAGTAGACGAAATTGCGTTTGGTCAGACCTAGTTCCGCATGAATTTTATTTTAGACTACTTTGCTATTCTTTCTATATTTATTTCAACATTTTGGAAGTCCATTGATATAAGATTTATATTTATTCATTGGCAGTTTGAGTAATTATCTATAGAATAAGGATGGAATTGCTGAAACTAGATTTCTGGGGAATTTTATTTTAAATTAATTAATTATAGTGTATAGTTATTATAGTTTGGTCTATTTGTTGCAAGTTCGAGTTCATTCCAGTAGCCATAATTGAGATAGCAAGGTAATTGTCCAGGCCAGATTCAAAGAGAATTTAATTTAAAATTACTTAGTTACTTTTTACCCATTTATTTGGAGATTTTGCAGATCTGTTGGTGAAAGGTCTACGTTCATCTGTCGCGAGTTTCAGCTAAATAGTTATAAATGGAAGAGAAATGGGTTTCGTCGGATGAAATCCTAAATGAATTTCCTTTCCCATGCATAAATACAGAATATGCATATATTTCGAGGTTTGGCGGATTTATTAAAGGCAGCTATGGTCCCATTTGTCAGAAGCTCGGATTCATTTTCGCAACTGTACACGAAATGAATCTTTGATATAGGTATAATAGACCGTAATATCTGAGAAAATGATATTTGTCGACGATTCAAATTACTCAATTATTTACATCCAATTCGTCTTTTAAAAATCGTATTATCGAGACTTCAATCATGAGGATTAATATCTCGAGATCGATACCTAACTGTGTGTTTATCCGCAGCTTCACTGCGACGGGAATTGAATTTTCCGGACAGGTTTTCTTCAATGGAACGATATCGAGGTTCGACCTACGTGCTTTTATTATTAGGACACTCGAAGCGGAAATCCTGTTGGAGAATCAAACGTGGACGATGGGAATAAAAACAAGCACGCGAGTAATTGTCGGTAGATTACGAATCGATCGTGGGAGTTGGCAAATAAAACGGGAGCAGTGGAGAAGTTCGTATCGTGCGGTTAGATTGCAGGCGGAAAATAAATCGACGCAAAGGGAAATAAAAGCAAGTCAGCGGCTTGATGGATCACAAATGAGAATCATCGTGATGCTGCGAGATTGAAACGACGAATAAATTGGAATAACCCAAGGGGCTCGTAATAACCGCTGGATTTCTCTGCAATTACAAGCCGTTTCAGCGTGACACTTTCACAGAGAATCCTCTGCTCAGTTGAAACGGATTGTCCAAATTTTTCCCCATCAGCTTACGAATTTTCCATCGATTGCGATCCGATGAAAGAGAATCCTGGGATCTGCATAGAAATCTGCTAGAACCGTAATGGAACGGGGGATTTCCCCAAGTACAGACTATTGCAGACCATTAACCCAATTCTCCCACTGGCTGCAACTCTCGCTGTCCCAAGCAATCAATCCCATCCTCCATTACTCAAACAAACGCCTAACCACGAGCCAACCCACTCACCTGGACCATGGTAACGAAGTACACGTCGCTCCTGGCCAACATCTCCTCGATGAACTTGATCAGTTCCTCTCTGTACTCCTTCTTGCTCTTCAGCCACGAAGCATGGAAGTGCAGACCAAGCGGAGCCCTGTTGCTGTTGAAGTGCCTGTTGAAGTTGTGCCTGAGCAGCCTGGCGAACTGTTCCCCGGTCTGAATGTTCGAGCACGAGTCCACCATGTGACAGCCTGGCAGAGATTCGTCGAAGGTCGGGTCGTCTCTTCTGTCCAACTCGTTCATCACCATCTCCCAGACTGGGTGGGACCTGGACGGGCAGTTGCCGCCATTGCCGTTGCACTTGTGAGGCATTCTGAAGTACAGAGTGTACGGCCAGATGGGAACGCGGCCTAAAGAGGCAGTGATGGACGCGTCGTAGACGAAGAACTGGTCAGCCATCATCTCGAATTGCTTGTTGCCACCCACGCGCAGATACGGAGCTCTCAAGCCGATAATGGAACCGTCCGTGATGTTAGCGAAACGCTCGATGATGAGTCTAGCCCCTGCCATCTCTGCCAGCCAGTCGTCGTAGGTCCCCTGGGTCCAATACTGAGGATCGTCTTTATGGGTCAGCGAGAACACTGCGATCTCGTGACCACGTCGATGCAGGTCCTGCACCGCTGAGTAGTTGGTGTACTTGTGAGACACGAAGAAGGTGCCTCTGATTTGACAGCCATTAGGGTTCTGACGTTGTCCGTTGAACACATCTTCGTACAGGTCGATGTTGTCCACGTTCACGGCCCCGTTGAAGGTGATCGTGATCATCTGGGGTACCTGGGAAGGCTCTATGTTCCCTGGAATCCTGGTACCATCGGCGGAACAGTAGCAGTCGGGGAGTGCACACTGTGTCGGGTCGCAGTCTGGCGCGCGGTTAGGGTCGGTTTCCACGGCTGTCGAGTGACAAATGGGGAGTTAGCTAGTCACCAACGAATCTTGCAATAGCTCGAATTAATTAAGATTGCATAAAGCGTTCCGTTGATCCGCGATGCGAGGCAGCATTCGAGGAGGCCCCGTTTAACTAGGCTTCA